GTGAGTCTCTACTATTTAACACATTGTTCTGTTTCCAAGTGAGAAAACGTAACATCAGTCTCTCTGTAGCTGAAGCTGCTGTTTGTTTGTTTGTTTATCTGATTAATGACGGTGATAGAGAACGTGTGTGTTACTTTTTATTTAATTTACTTGGTACAAGCAGTGTTTAAATGTGATTTATAAATAAATCTAACACAAACCTGGTAATAATTTAATGATTAAGCTTCAACTTTTAATTTGCTGGCAAAATCTGAAGGCACTGCATGTATGGCAGGATGAATTGCATTTAAACAGGAATTAAAGTAATTTATTACATCTACCCAATGTGTGTAATTAAGTATTTTATATGTGTGTGTGTGTGTGTTTAATTGCTCTTTTAGCTACTTTTGCCTGAACCCACACTGTAAGTGAAACAAGGCATTTCTTGAGTTGCTGTAAATTATGTTATAATACATATTTACTCTCTCATCCAGAAAACAACAACAACAAACAACAACACTTCATGATGGACAGACACCATGGACACCACAGCAGCAGCTGTCTTCACTGGAACATCCTTAAATGATCGTCACTGACACGAGCCCTCTGTCTATGGTTGAAGACGAAGGCTTCACTACACTGATCCACACTTTTAATCCAGGTTACAATAATCCACACTTTTAATCCAGGTTACAATAATCCACACTTTTAATCCAGGTTACAATAATCCACACTTTTAATCCAGGTTACACTCTTCCCTCAAGGACACATTTTACAAAGTAGCTACATATTTTGCAGGTATAAAGATACATTTGTATATATTGTTGTGTACATTTATTTCTTTAAGCTATTTGACTAACTTTCTTTTTTTATTATTCAATATTTTACTAACAGAATAGTCAAATAGCAACCTGTTTTTTGTGTGAATTGCTATGTCAGTCAAATGTTAAATTTTGGGATAAAGGGGTGGAAATTAAAACGTTGTTTTTTTGCTGATTCATCGATTAATCGAGAGAGAAAAAATAATCGGATGATGAATCGATTATTGAAATAATCGTTAGTTGCAGCCGTAAAATGGTTTGATCAGATGGATGCCATTTACGGCAACCGACCAGCTAACAATGGGAGGGAGAGTGGCTTGGACACAGCCACTGCTCGGCTGGAATCAGTGATGGAAGATGGTGAGTGTTCTAACTTTAAGCATATTTTAAGTTACTCATCCCATTGGTTTTGATTATAGAGGCTGATGCCATTGCCCATGATGCTCACCTCATTAGTTAGCATCAATGCTAACTGTGCTCTGTTCCTGTGTTTCACTCCATTTTGATCCAGAATGTCATTGGCAGAATGGCATTTGACAGTTCATCTACAAATGCCATTTTGGACCCTCCAAGCCTCCTGGCTTCTGCCCCTGCTCCAGCCGCATCTACACCTACACCTAGCACCACACAGAGTAACAACACAGCAGCCTGTACTTGGAAAGACCCAATAATCATGTTTCACATCACTTTATTTGTGCCGTTAGGAAAAGGATTTGTTTTTATTTATTGATTTTTTTAAGTACAAATTTTAAAAAGTGCATTGTAGTAAACCTACTAATTCATTTTTATTCATTTTTATTATTTTAATTTTATTATTTTTTATTCATTTTATTATTCATTATAATTATTATTATTCATTTAAAAAATTCTTCCTAAAGTTGCTCAGGTAGATATAAATGAGTAAATGTAGCTGGTTTCTACCCACCTGTTTACTAATGACACATAAAGTTTGCATTATGTACAGAATCACAAAATTGATCTTGCAAACAACAAAAACCTTTCTTGAGTAGCCGCTCCTTTCTTTGTTTATGCATTTCTTAAAAAACAGTATCTAGACTGGATTAGCCACCTGCCATTTCTTCTTTCTTCTGGCTAGGCAAGAGAAAGAGTAAAGCATCAAGTAAAGACCATTGTTCTGTTTCGGCGATGATGGAAGACAAACTGAACTGGGCACAGCAGGAACAAGACTTTTGTCTTCTTTTGGATAAAGCACATGAGGCAGCGGCGGTGGAACAGGTAGTAGCTCTACGAAGAGAGCAGATAGCTCAGAATGCTGCCTTCAATTAAGCCGTCCTTGGGGTGCTTGCACGTGCCTTAACCAATAACAGACGTGTGACATAGTTTTAGACAGACAGTCAGTTGTTAGATGCAGTCATTTTTTGATTGTACATTTGTTACTTGTTACTTTCCAATAAAATTAGTGTTTCTTATGTGCTGTGCTTGGATCATAATTTTCAGTGTTAAGAGCTTGCAGTGTTTGTTAAAGTCCATAGTGGAAGTTAAGCAAAATTTCCATTTGCATTTGAGCTTTAATTACTCTTATGAACAGATTACCATAATCTGGTCACCTGTTATTAAATTAGTCATTTTTTTGTTCCAGGATGAAGTCATCAGACAAAAAAATTGCTTAATAGTTCATCACTGTACTTCAGTCATTCCAGTGAAATTATGACAGTTTGTATTGTAAAGATGCATGGGGAGCAAAATTATACACATTTTTACGAGTTTTTTATTTATATGCAATATGTATTAATAAAATGGACTGTACTTATAGAGCGCCTTTTTATCTTACCAAGACACTCAAAGCACTTTACCATCTATGCTCTCATTTACCCATTCATCCAGTACTCTACTAGATCTATACAAAGCTAAATGAACAAATCATTCTAATGAGACTAATCAGTGCTTTTATCACATTCACACACCGATGGGACACACATCAGAGGCAATGAGGGGTTCAGTGTCTTGCCCAGGGACAGTTCGGCATGTGACTGCTGGTGGATTCGAACCCCCAACTCTTGCAATGGAGGACAACTTCTCCAACCACTCAACCACAGTCGCCCCTAATAAATAATCAAAATAAAAATGCGTGATGACTTTGGACTTTTAGGGGCGGAGATTTGACAGATCTGAGGAAACAGTTGCCGGAACACAGTCGGTCAGAACGAAGGAGTTCCTGGATCTTGTTCCAGCAGGATCCGGCTCAAATTAACCACTGGTCACACGTCACCGCTGACAACCTGGAAACATGGGCCGGTGTTGTGCCAAAAATCGATGGGCTGCCAAATGGCGGCCGCGGGAGCGTGCACAGGAGGATTTTAACAAGAATTTAAAAAGATTAACACTTTAAAACAATTATTTTTTTGCTCAAAATTATAGTAAATGTGTGTCTCAGTCTAACGTTTGTTTAATAAATGCACTTTAATGGTCAAATCAGCTGTAATTGCTGCTTGTGTGCTCAGGGAGCACGCAGAGGAAGGAAGAAAAGGAAGGATGAATGCTGCTCGTTTCTTCAAAATTTAACAAGAAAATCACCTAAAACATTTATTTGTTTGCTCAAAATTATAGTTAAGGTGTGTCTCAGTTGAACTTTTACGTAATAAATACACTTTAATTAGCTGCATTTTGCCGGGGCGGTGCAGCTAGTTGGACGGTTTCAAGTAGCAAGCAGAACGAAGGTAGGGGTATATGGCAAGCCGATTGAGTCATTAATAGCTGTTGAAGATTCTCAGTCTTCCAGGACATGGTAAATTCTAAAATGTTAAAGATAAATAACAATAAAGTAAAGTATAATCAATAAAGTCCAGTTGTTTTTGTATTGAACTTTTTTGAATTTGTCATTATAGCCACGTTTACTTATTACATGATACAATGGCATGCCATACTGCTACTACTCTGCTTCCATCAAGTGGCTGAAAGTGGTACAGCTTAAAATTTTTTTCAGTCAGAATGAATGAAAACGGTCATATCTCAGCCAAAAAGTGGTTTATAAATATAGGAGAAAATCCATAAATATGTTGCTTCAGCCTATTAAGTCGCAGGGCATGTAAATTATGCAAAAAATTGCGTCTTATAGGGCAAAAACTCCGGTAGGTTTAGGATTAGGTTTAACAGTTACAGCTCAATGTCTGGCCTGGGGGCCATACAACACACAGGTCTGATCTGGGTCATTTTTATTCAGTAAACAGTGCCGGGAAATTCTCTTCCCTTTTCTCTCCAATTGTCCAACCACAACGCAGAATTGGACCATTTAAACTCACGATGAAGCAAGTGATTGTGTTTCTGTTCAGTGCCCTGAGACGACTTCTGTTGTGACTTGGCACTATATAAATAAACTGAATTGTATAAAAATAAACACTTTCCAGCAAGCCAACATTTTTCAGTCAGGTCATCTGGACAATTTCTTTTATTTTTGTGCTGAAACGTTTCGCCTTCGATCCAGAAGGCTTCATCAGTCAAGGAAACACACAACAAAACTGATTCTTCCTCCAACAGCTTACTCCAAAGTAGAACAAACCAGTTATGTTGGTGCTAAGATGGTCTCTTTGTCACGCTCCCTCCTCCATTGCCGGCCCTCTTCCTTGTTGACAGTCATGTCAAACTGGTTGGAGTAAGCTGTTGTGGGAAGAATCAATTTTGTGTTGTGTCTTTCCTTGACTAATGAAGCCTTCTGGATCGAAGGCGAAACGTTTCAGCACAAAAAAAAAAAAAAAACTGTCCAGATGACCTGACTGAAAAATGTTGGATTGTATACCTGGATTATTGAGCATGGACTTTGTTACTTTCCAGCAAGGTTTTGCAATATGGCAGTCACGTAATCTTCCCTATATAAACAAATTAACTCCATGCTGGTGACAGCTGCAGCTTAGTGTCCTGAGCATCAGCTTGTGCTAAAGTATTCAGCTCTGAGCGAAAGAATAGGCAGTGCAAAAACAATGTTTGTATCGATACAGCCACCCAGTTACAATTAAATACTTTGTTGTCTTAACACCTTGGCTTCCTTCCTTACAGAACTTTTACTAATTGGCTTTTGCATGAATGTTTTTGTTCAGTGCCCTGAGACAACTTCCATTGTGACTTGGTGCTATAGAAATAAACAACTGAATTGAATTAGCATTCTTTATTACAACTCAGGATTGAATTGAATTGAGTAAGAGTTTGTAATTTTGACCTCCAGCTCTTTTCTGTTCTGGTTTTTAGATGTGACCTTGGACTGTGAGTCCAGTGTACCATTGGTTGCCCAGGAACTGATGAAGAAGATGATACATCAGTTTGCTGTAGAGTACGCTTCAAAATGCCTGCTCCGCCCCAGTACAAACGGTGTTACTAGCCCCTCATCTTCGTTGTCGGAAACATCAGAAGGCCCGTTGGATCTGACAGTAAGCCGAACACTTGAAGTGAAACAGAGTAAAGCTGAATCAGGTAAGAAAAGCAGAAAGTATAGATGCACCAATTCTAGTTTTGCAAGCACTAAACATATTCAAACTTATACAGTTCTAACCCTACCAGTGTTGATTTTTTTTTTTTTTTAATTTCAAAGCGTTCAGTATTAAAGATGGATTAAACTGCTGACGGACAGGAAGCTTTTCGGCTCAGCACAATGCTGATGACCACAGCACTGCAGAAAAGTCTGATTTTTACTTGCAAAGTTTGTGGTAGACGTTAACAAAGTAAGAAAATTAAAGAGAATACAGAATGCACTTTTGGTCAAATCTGCTGGCTGTAAATAGGCAGCTGGTATTTGGGGAAGCAGAGAACACTTGAACTTTTCAACATCTGTTGTGTAGAAAAACATTTAATATCAGAAGTGTCACTAGTTATTGTCAGGTTTATCCTTTTCCCCTTCATTATTTAAGTTTGACTGGTCATAATAGAATGTTTACAGTAAAAAAACAGTTTTCAGAAACATCAGCAACTTACTTAACTTTCTCTCTCTGTCACTGAAAATCTATAAATAATAGCTTCCAGATTATTAGACAAAGGGATTTGTAGAAATAAAACCCAACAAGAGTAATTACGGTGAAATTGTTTTTAAGATGAATAACTTTTTTTCTATACAAAATAATAAAATGCACCAAATTATTGAATTGTTTCTCTTTTAAGAATTTTATTTGAGATATATTGCGCGTGAATCCAGAGTAATATAAAAAAAGACACTTGAATTTATTAGATTGTTATGCCATTAATTTTTGTTCTGTAGCTACATGGCATTGTCTTTCTGTTAACAATCAAATATAAATCATTAAAAGTAGAGGAAACATCACGTGAGAGAAAATAGAGCCTCTGAGCTACACAGCTCTACTGTAAAAAAAAAAAATTGGGGGGTCAAACCAAAACAAAATTATCCATGTCTTTTAACATTTATTGCTAGCGTCATTAGCACAGTTAGCATTTTTAACTGCAACAGCTGTCAGTAAAAAGAAACCCTATCCTTGGTTGAAATGGTCCCAACGGGTTGCTAACGTTTCCAAATCCAACATGTATCATGGAGGACAGATTGAAAGCTACAAATTATCAAATAACTTGTCTCTAATCCATTTTTTCCTCTGTTGTCTGCTGCATTGTCTCCTTGCCTCCCATGTAAACCCTCAGCAGGTATATCGTCGTAGAAAAAGCTGTTTCTGCTTAAGAGTCTTCCCACCTTTTGTGATGCCGCTGACTTTATTTTAACGCCCCGTAGATTGTGCTACAGATAAATTCAAAGCTTCACTGACTGGAAAATTTGGATTTTTGATTGTTGATCAAGCTGAAAAGCAGCAGGTGCAGATTACATGCTTGTAATCCAAAGCCTTTGCATGAATGTTTCAAGCTTCCACAGTTTTTGAACAGCAACACAAACAACATCTGAATCCAAATCCTAACCATATGAAATGTATTTGTCTTGTCACAGATGGCGTGCTGGATCTCTCAAACAGGAACTTTTCAAGCTCAGCAACCTTGTCATCATCTATTCACAAAGCCTCAGGGTAAGTTTATTTTTATTTGGATTTTTTCTGTCTAACTTGGTGAGTTTTCTGATATAAGCTAAAACACATGAGGTTGAAAACACAGCTTTGGTCAGAGGTTTACATACTCATCATTGACATAAATGTCATGATATTTCAAGCTGTTTCAAGCCCTTTTCCCAGAGTGGATGGTTATACAACATACAACTTCAGTGATTATTAAAAACAAGAATTGGGTGCACAAGTATAAACTTAATGTGGATTTTCTCTGATCCACATGGGGTCAAAATGATACACTCAGGCCATCAAAAACATTTTGTTTGAAAGCCCTCATTGTACTCACCTATTCTTTCCAACAAGAAAGTCCAATGAACTCAGTGAAGAGCTAAAAAATAATATAAATTGGTTAGAATGTTCAGGAACAACCAAAGGCTGCCATGTCCTGGAAACTGCAAAAAACCCAGTGTCCCTGACCACAGGGCTCACTCACCACATCACCATGAACTGAGAAAGAAAGCTCAGACTCCAAAAGTGCCACCATCCACTTGATGGACAAGCCAGATGTCTACTGGAGAAAAGTTTTACAATCTGGTGACAAAGATTGAGCTTTTTAGTTACAATGAGAAGAAGTATGTTTGAAGGAGTCATGGTGAGGCTTTCAAACCTAAGAACACTGCCCCGACTGTCAAGCGTCATATTTTAACACCTTGCTGTGGTACTGGTGCATTGTACAAAGTGGCTTTGGTGAGTTGAGGTGGTTCTTCTCGTCCTGAGAATTTCATTGCATTGTTGACCTTGTGTTGATTCTGCATATAACAAATAAACCAAACCTACACTGCCTGACCAAAAAAAAAGTCGCCACCTGGATTTAACTAAGCAAATAGATACGAGCCTCCTATTGGATAATTACTGCATGGGCAGTTATCTTTCAGCTGCAACAAGTTATTTAACTCCCAACAGGTGCAATGAGTTGCTTCTCATTTCTTAAACAACCATGTTGAAAGACACATCGCTTGGTCGTGGAAAAGGTGTAGGTCTGTTTGAGAAGGATCAAATTATTGGCATCAAGCAGAGAAAACATCCAAGGAGATTGCAGAAACTTCTAAAATTAGGTTAAGAACTGTCCAACACATAAAAAACTGGAAGGATAGTGGGGACCCATCATCTTCGAGGAAGAAATGTGGCCGGAAAAAAATCCTGAATGATCGGCGATCACTTAAACATTTGGTGAAATCAAATCAAAGAAAAACAACAGTAGCACTCAGGGCTGTGTTTAATAGTGAAAGTAAGAGCATTTCCACATGCACAATGTGAAGGCAACTCAAGGGATGGGACTGAACAGCTGTGTAGCCTTAAAAAAAACACTCATCAGTGAGGCTAACTGGAAAAAAAAGGCTTCAATTTGTTAGGGAGAATAAAGATTGGACTCTGGAGCAATGGAAGGAGGTCATGTGGTCTGATGAGTCCAGAGTTTCAGAGTGATGGGCACATCAGGGTAAGAAAAGAGGCAGGTGAAGTGATGCACCATCATGCCTAGTGTCTAGTCATCAATGCAAGATCTTGGTGAAAAATGAATGCAACACTGGATGGAAATAGATCTTGTGACTTTGCAGAAGCTCATTGAAACAATGCCGTAATGCAATGCATGCCGTAATCAAAGCTAAAGGCGGTCCAACAAAATATTAGTGTGTGACCCTTTTTTTGGTGGCAACTGTTTTTGGCCGGGCAGTGTACTATCTAATGTCAAATTCACCAACAGCTAGTGTTGAAATTTAAACACAGCTGAGTGTTTCAACAAGAACATTGATCTCAAACACATGGTTCCTAAATGGATTAACAACTAACATCAAGCTTCTGAAAGGTTCTTCCCAAAGCCACAAACTCAGCCTTGGTAAAAAATAAAAAAAACAAGTGACCTAGGCATAAAAATTGGGTTTGTGCCAGAAAACCAACCAATTTAAGTCTACATATTCTACCTAGAAGAGTGGTCCAATATCAAGCAAAAATTGAACCTGAACCGTGTTATTGGATGCACAAGTCCTGTGGTTATGGTGCAACTTGCTAAGCAACATTTAATCAAACTTTGGTTGGGGTGTATGTATAAACTTGTTCCTGTTTGTACAATTATGACCCTATATGAATTAAAGAATAGCTTTATAATCAATCCACTCTGAAAAATAGAATGGTTCAGAAATAAAACTTTACACAGCTTGAACTTAATATGACGTTCATGATAGGCACCAGCTCCCTCACAACCCAAAAAAGGAATAAGTGTGTAAAGAAAATGGATGGATGGATGCCAACAATTAATCTGTGTCAATTTCTGACTGCACCTCTTTACTATAAAATAATAAAAATAAATTAAACCATTATTTAGGTATTTTTGTCAAGATTTACTCTGAAGACAATTCCATTAAATGATTGCTGCTTACCACATCTCACATTAATAACATTGCAAAGAGACATTGGTTAACAACAATACTGTTAATGTTCCTGGTGCTTCTTGATTAAAATCAGACAGTTATTATCACTCCTGTTGAATGATACACATAAGCCTGTTTTTGTAACCTCTAAAATCATTTTCAAGGGCTAGTTTATGTTTGATGTTTTGGTTTTATGGGGTTGACTCTTTTATCTCTTGAGCGGTAACGTCACAGCAAATTTTATTATTTGCCAACAGCTCAGGATTGTACAATGAGAAGAACGTTGCAATGCTTAATGATTGTACTTCCTTTTTTTTTTACTGATCTAAATATCACAAGCTTGATTATTCTACCTTCAAGCACGTAGGGGATTCACTGGATATCACAAAACTCCAGGGGCTGCATGTGAGCGTCAAAGTAACTTCAGCCATTCACAGACTGTCCCACCTGGACGTGAAGAGGCTTTGTGTGTCTGTGTGTGACAGACTGCAGCAGTGTGTGTTTGAAGGCCCAGAAACAGACTGAAAACATACAGACATGAAACTAACAGTCTCGGTGATGTTACCAACACAAGGCATAAAGGAGTGGACCCCTCAGTCTTCATCCCATCCCCTTTGCCAAAATAAAAAAAACCTCCATCACCTCCATCCTGACCCTGCTCTTTGGTCCTCCCATCCCTAGGAGGCAGCACAGACAGAAGGAGTACATTGAGAGGAGCTGGGAGCTGTCAGAGGGGTTACTGTCCAAGGCTTTGAAGGATATTTGTTCAGGGAGACTGCAGGAGCAACGAGCTGCATTACTCTATGGGATACCGCTGCAAACCCTCAGGCAAGGTTTGGACGACTTGGCTGAGGGGAGGCTGGAGGTGCTGCAGCAGTTTGCACAAGGAGCCAGAGATTTCAGGGATGATGTGACCTCTCACATTGTGATTTCATCAAGGTTAGGTGGCCAAGCTCGTCTAGTTCTGCAGAAGGCGGCAGCGTGGGCGGAGCGAGCAGAAGTTGGGGGAAATACAATGAGGAATGGAGATGGTAGTCTCCCGTTGTCTGCTCTTGCATTTTATTCACCTAGTGGCCAACAAAAGTCTCTCCCTCACTCTTTCTCCCAGCTCAGGGATGCCCTCCAGAACCCACCAAGCCCATCCTCCAGTTTGGGAGCTTCCACAACCCTGCGCATTCCTCAGGTTCGTTCTAAGCCTGACCACAACAGGTCTGTCTCAGCTGAGAATGGCAACAAGGGTGGAAATTATCATCGTTCCTCATTAACTGAGAGTACTGCCAGTTTGTCTACAGCATCTGCCAAACCTTTATCATTCATCAAAGTCAGACCTCCGTTCTTGGCACCAAGTTGCCCGGACAGTATCAGCCAGTTACCTCATCGCCTGGGACCACATGGATCCTCCTTGGATGAATTAGAGGATGGTGGTTGTCAGGATACAGACAAGCAACCTCGAAAGAAACGTGGGCGATACCGTCAGTATGACCATGAACTGATGGAAGAAGCCATTACTATGGTGATGGCTGGTCGTATGAGTGTATCTAAGGCTCAGGGGGTTTATGGAGTACCCCATAGCACACTGGAATACAAAGTCAAAGAACGCACTGGAACACTGAAGAACCCTCCCAAAAAAAGATCTACTACCTTTTGCTCGTCTAGTTCCAACTCATCTAAATCTAGTACCATGACCAGTTCTACTAACTCAGGAAGTTTTACCTCAGCTGCCGATGCTCAGAGGTCCTAGACCGCAGAACGCCTCAAAGTCCTCAACACTTGAACACAACCTCTTACAAAACACATATTTCCTGGAGACTTGGTGAAATTCAATTCATGCCTTTACATAATACTCAAATAATATTCAGGTATTTTAATCATGTGTCTATATTGTAATGGTCATATCTTAAAATGTATTTTTCTATTGTGGTACGTGGCTGAACTTAAAGCATTTAGCAGTTCTTTTTCTACAAGTCAACGATGCTCGATTTTATTTATTTATTTTTGTGTTGCTGCTAAACGTAACAGACTCTTTAGTTATTTATTATTTATGGGGGGTGGGGGGGGTGAACAGAATGTGGAATATATCAGTAAATCCCAAACAATAAAACTAAAAATAAATTCAAACTAGAGCAAAATAATTGAAGTGTTGTCTTTCTGCTGTGCCACACTTGCAGATGTATGTTGCAACCTGACGACTGGATTTAAGGACTTAATGTAAAATAAAAAAATTAAAAAAATAATTTACTTTATCATTTTAAGTTTTTATGTACGGTAATATTAAGTTGATTTTATAAAAACATCAAACTATTAATAGTTACTATTGAAAAACATCCACAATTAGCTGCTTGTGATAGTAAACTAATTATTAAATGAACCTTGTCAAAGAATTTGTTGGATGTAATAATAAGATCCCACTAATCTCCCTTTAGACCTCTGGGATTATTTTAAATTTGTTTTTGTGCTGTATTGTTTGGAAATCTCTCTTAATGAAGAAAGAGAGCGTTGTTGAGAGCTCTAAATTAAAGAATGACTCATTCTTGTTATAGCATTTGGATTATTAGGTTATGCAGGCTTTGAAACTCCAAGGTTGGGTGTTTGTCATTTGCAGCTTTTTTTTTTTTTTTTAATCTCTGGGTTTTACCAAGTGACTTATAGCCATTTTACGACATTAAATTGTTCTAAAACTGTTTAAACTGGAAAACTGTTCTGTACAAAATGCTGTGGAGGCTTCATCTTCAGAGTTTTTGTTGAAGAGATTAGTTTAAAGCCATGCTATGTCCATATTGTTTCTTTTGTTTTGTGCAAGCTACTCTATTGAGCGTAATTGAAATGCAAACGTGCAGCATGCATCAAAATGTGCACTGATGAGCTTGGGGAAATGTTTATTGTGTGTGTTCTGCTTGTGAAACAAGTTTTTTCTTGCATATTTACTAAATCTGCTACTGTAGCTGTATTACTGCTAACCTCAGACATGACTGCTGCTGAACTTTCCTGGACTGTTCCTTTGACAAACAGCTGCATAGCTTTTGTCAAACACTTCTCTCAACTAAAGATTCAAAGATGCAGCAAAGTGCATGATCCTAAAAGATAGAGTAGCACTTGTTGCATGTATAGGGTTTGGGGTATTGTATGGGGTGTCAGACACTGAAGGCTACAGTAGTTAAAGATTTCTGTGATGAGTTGTGATCATGATGCTATTTAGGCTTAGCGGCTGCTTTTTCTGTGCTTTTGCAAATGCTAGATGTTGCATCTATGCTCATGTCTGCCTCTCAGATGGGCCTGTTTTCATTAATAGTGCTATTACCAAAGCAGCATTTCAGGGTTAGCCAAGCAAAGCTGCTCCACTTTATTATGCTGCTATGCCAGCCCGTCTATTTCTTGCATTCTTACACTCTAACCTCATCGTCACATATACCTCTGAGCTTTATTTGTCTGATCTCACATCAAGTTCTCTTTCTTGGAGAACTCGGCCTGCTTGTAACACTTAATAGCTGTTTGTTTCTCTAGGAACAACACCCAAGTGTAAATTTATAGCCATCAACAACTGTTTAGTTCTTATACTAATCAATGTAAAATAAGCCATTTTTGAAGAATTTTGAATTTACAATAAATGTGCTGCTTTTTTGCTAAGTATGATCCCCAGTTGAATATTTGATCATGTGAGGATAATTTTTAGGCTGTTGTAATTTCACGTTTTTTTTTTTTTTTGTTTTGTTTTTTTTGTCACATTGGTGACATTTAATCTTTGAAACTGTGGGACCTCTACAAATACACCTGAATGTCTGTTTATACAAGTGCATGGTTCCTGTGTCTCAGGAAACTTTTTTTTAAACCAGGAAACATCTTAGTGCATTAATCTTTCTACTCTGAGGGATATGTGCCCTTTTCACACATGAGACTCATAACAATGGCTCTGAATCTGTGAAAGCAACAATATTTGTGCATTCATTACTTTACTGTGAAGGTTTCTTGTTTTATTGACTTAAGAATGGGGAAGCTAAAAATATGCTGCACATATATTTATTATTGGTAAAAATCAAAGAGTATATGAAGTCAGTTTTCTCACAACTTGTCTCATCTATATGAGCAGTAACATTTATTATCTTACCTGCTTTGGGTAGCTTTTTGAACAACCACAGTTTAGAGAAATAGTCCGATTTTTGACCTGATAGTCGAGCTAACAGCTAGTCTAAGCAAGGCTAAGATTAAAGTGGATTGCTGCCATTTTTTAAAAAGTCCAGTCTAAAAATATTGTAGTGGATCATGTGAATATTATTTTGGGACTCTTTACAATATCAGTTTTTGAGTTTCCTGCCTATTCATTGAGAAATATTGACATTCCTGATGTAAGTGCTAAAGCTAACTGCTGCTGCCAACATTTGTGCTTGTAAATAACATCATATTTTGTCAAACTTGGCTTATTTGTTAGTTGGGGTCCCACATCACATTATCTCAAATCTTAGGTCAATCAGACCAGTGGTTCCAGAGATATGGCCCTGCAAATTTGGGGATTTTTGGCAATGGGCATGGCCGTCTATCTTCAACCCCAATTATCTCAGGAACTACTAAGTCAGTTTTTACAAACTTGGTGTCATTAGAAAGGAAATTTGATAAGGTTTGTAAATCTTTATCAAATCACATTTGTGAAAGTTGACCCAGTAGTTCCTGATATAATTGGAGATACTGTATGTGTCCAGGCCCATTTTTACCAAAGATCTGAAAAGTTTGGAGGCCGTATCACTGGAACCGCTGGTCCAGTTGACCTTAGATTTGAGATACTGTGCTGTGGGATCACAATAGTTGATCAGGGATGACGTCACAAGAATTGTGGGGAATCTCCTAAGTCTCGGATGTCGAGCAAACAATGCAGCAGACTGCGTACATAATGGCTACCTCCAATGCTTTTGTCCATGTAAACTTAAATGAAGACGACGTCCCTGAGGCCAAAATCAACTTGGAATATTTTGAAGGATTCAACAGTCACAGCTTAAGCGTTGGCTACAATGCAAGGGACTAGCAGTGTCTGTCAACCGGGCCGAATTGATAAAAGAGACATGTTTGGTATTCCCGGTGTTTCCGTGCTGATTCTTTTGATGCTTTTGCCTCAGTGAAAAAAATCACGGATGATAGAAGATTTCATGTAAGATGCATGCCGTTGATTCACCATGTGTTGCACAGGTTTTGGGTGGCAGGATGAAGAATTTATTTTGTCATCTGCTTTTATTTTACTTTGTTGGCCATTAGCTTTTAGCGATTGGGTCTTTTGTTTTATTTTTCTAAAGTTCTAAGCTGGAGCTGAATTCAACGCCTTAATTAGCGCCAGCAGGTTAAAACAGACGTTCGGTGCTCCTGTTAGTTTCTGACATGGAAAGTTATTGCTATACCTGTTCAGGTACTGCAGACGCTAGTTTGGGATCAGGGTGCTCCTCTCAGTCCGTTCCCTCCAACAAAGGGTTTTGAACATATGTAAGTATCCTCGTTTACATTTGTTCTATTGAAGCCAACTCGGCCACAGAGTCGAATCCAACAATCACATTTCTCTCCCGGACTAATCGGCTTTGCAAATGGCAAGAACCCAGTACCTTGCATATGGGGCTTGTCCGCATATTGGCTGTCACCATTACAAGTCCCGTAGCAACAAAGCTCCTTTGATACCATTTTCTGCTGGTTTTTTATCGGTGCAAACCACTACTACAGCACTGTACAGTGTTGTACTCAGAAGTTCTGTTTGCCAGACATCTGAGTACTTGCTGGCATCACAGCCTGACCAGCACTGTTGATAAATATGCCAAGTTTTATTGAAATCTGAGATGGTAGAGTTAAACCCATTAGGTGATTTGGCACTTCTGACCCTAAAGTCTTAGTGAATGTAAGCAGTTAATATTGTTAATAAATGGCAGGAAGTTCAAACTAGCTGAAACGTAAATTTTCTTGCTTATTTGGCCCGTGCTTATCTACAGTGTTCATTTCTGCAGCGGCGTATTGGAGAAGAGTTTTAACGAGTTTTTTAAAATTATTATTCACAGTGTGACCCATCAATTTGCTTCAAAAAGCTGATCAGAAACCAAATTAATTATCACACCACTGCTGTTTGTCAGTCTGTTAAGAGCACTGCAACATTTGTCAATTGAGCTGCATTGAAAGTGATACAAATGTATTACAAGGACTGACGGAGTCATGTTTTGGTTTTGAACTATTAT